GGAACCAATGCATACTAAGTGCTGTGTCTGTTATTTTTAGAATACTCTCTTACTAGTGATTTCGTTTTAAAGAACACTTTAAAGCGCAAGCGCAGAGAAATTGTTGTCAAGTGTTTTTGTTGATGCTACTTGCAAAGAAAATGAATTTTGTAAATTACTCTGGTTGTGTGACTAGTAGTGATAATGAACATAACAGACATTAATGTATTGTCAGCTAGTACTGGAATGTTTTCTTTGCCGCAGACATTATTGTACCATTTAACTTATTCTTTGTGTTTTGTTGGCAGAGGAAGACAGAACGAGTGAAAATTTCATGTCTATCCTGGAGAAACAGGTTTGTACTAGAAAATATGGAAAAATATGTATCTTATTAACCTAGCAGGAGGTTAGTACTGGAAGAATATCAACCCCACGTGCTCGAGGAAAGAGGTCAATATGGAACAGACTTCAGGGTTGCAAAAAAGATATATTTTTATATACCGGTGCTTAATGTGAACACTAAACTGGTGGTTATATTCCTTTGCTACTGTTTTGGAGTTTTAGCTCCATGCTGTTTTTAACCCAGTATTTAATCTTGTTTTCAGAACCTGGTATTCCTGTTCCCACTGCTTCATATTCAAGCTGATCTTTTCTCCAAGATCGAGGAAGATCCCAGCGTCACTGCAATCTACAAGTGGGTCAAGGTATGAAGACAGAAAATAGATATCATTCAATCTATGATACAAGTTTCAAACTGTGACCTCCAACAAATCAGTCACGACAGACCCTTTAGGACAGAACTACATGAGACATGAGGAGGTTAAACTGTAGACCATATATCAACTTGGCTCAATTGTGGTTCTAGCGGCCATTGGTGTCAGCGGGAGAGAAATTTGTTACTAGTATAATGGCAACGCTATTTTCCCTTTGATTATTTTCGTAGCTCTTAGAAGTACACTGACCTTCAGTTTAACGTTCTTAGTTGATACTGTTTTTACTTGTAGGACAATGTCGACTCTTCCTGGCACACCAATCCAGAGTTTATTAACGTACTCACCACTTGGTAAGTTGAAATCCTTGCTTGAAAAAATGGCGGTCTAACTAAAATTGTTCATTTATGAGGCAAAGTATGAATAGATTAGTAAAACACAAAAAAGCATGTTCAAGTACCCGGAAACTCAGAGGGGTGTAAGAATTTCGACACATTGAAAAAAGTCTTTTTCATACCAAATCACCATTTCATACTAAGTATAATTCCATGGACAAGAACTTGTATTACGATGTAAGAAAGCGACTGTTTGTTCAGGGCTCGTTTTTACCAAGGAATACAACATTTTATTTTTGTCTTCAGCTTGCTGAAGTACGCAACCAAAGACAGTACTCTCGCTGAAGGCGTGGACACATCACAGGCTCCAGAAAAGGACTTGCTAGACAAGGAGAAAGCCACTTTGAAGAAATTACTGCCATTAGTGGAAAAGTTTGTTCACGAGAAAAGTGCCTTGCAAGTGAGTTACTTTATCAGTTTGTCCCCTCCCCCCTCTTCTTCAATCTTTAACCCTTCAATGTTTTGAAAGCTCTTTCCTTCGTTTGATTTCATTTGGTAGGCAATTGTTTCGCTAATTTGCCCACTAAATGTTGGCCCATCATGTAGATTTAATTTGTTTATTTGTTGATCACCTGTATCCTCAATTTTCCGCTTTCTTTCTCCAGGTCAGCGTGTTGTATGCATTGCAAGTGTTTTGCCACAGTCATAACTTTCCTAAAGGTACAGTAAAAGCGAATTATTTTGAGCGATCAGAGCAGAAAAAATAACTGTCACAGAGTTCTTGTGTTCTTGTGATTGCATCATGCACAGAGATTGGATACCCTTCCTGGCTTATAGCCATTCTGTTTTTGCTAGGCATGTTGTTGCGTATGTTTGTGTTGTTGTACGACACAGAAGTTGTGGAAGAAGAAGCGTTTTTGAAGTGGAAAGAAGATGTAAGCGAGAAGCATCCAGGCAAAGGAAAAGCTCTCTTTCAGGTAGGATCAGCCTTTTCTTCGTTCCTGGGTATTTTTTCAGAGCTTAGTAAGCTATCCGAGTGTTTATTTCAACTGAGCTAGAGTTTGACTGACAGTACGCCTGCCCTTACCTATGTAGGTGAACGCATGGCTGACGTGGTTGGAGACCGCTGATGAGGAGGGTACAGACTCAGAAGCCGAGTAACCAGGCCTGCACCACCCCTTAGAGGAAAAGAAAAGTAAAGAAATCTGTCACACGCCCTGTCTAACGCAAATAAGATACTTGAGAGAGAAAGCAGTAAGAAAAAAAAAACCAAAACCAAAAAATTGAAAAACAGTAGAAAAATACAGTAAATAGGGATTTTTAATTATCTCTTTTTCCAGAAGTAATTCGTTTCAGACTCAAGCAACTTGATCTAGTTCATTTCACATGTTACTCATAAAAATACGAGCAGTGTTGCTCTGTTCTGCCTGTTTTGTCATGTTCCCCTTGTCAGTTACCTCTCTAACGTAATTTACCCATGTACATTTCAACGAGGCTACTTTTAAGTGCTAAGCAAAACTCCACCGCGACAAGGCAACGTCTCAAATATGTAGCTGAAGCCTTTTGCACACATGCATTACTGTTACTGGAAAGCAAACCCTTATTAACGCGGCTCCAAAATGTTTAGCTTTAATTTTTTTTTTCAGTTAACTTGCTTGCTATTTGCGTACGATTACAGTACGGCTTAGTGAATTTGAATTTGTTTGTAAATCTCTCTGTAGATTTTTCGACTGTAAATTCTAGTCTCCAGTTTGTTTAGTCAGCCCAGGTAATGACTAACTATTCTACTTGTTCCAAGTGAACACCAAAGGAAAAAAAAACAACAACAAACCTAGCAGAGTTCTGGTAATTCTGATTAAGCGCATTTAGTAGGAATACTCTTATCACAAACCTTAATTCGGCAGTTTTGCGTATATTTTTCTGATCACTAGACTGCTGGCTGCCGGTCGTTTCTCTTAAGGTCCAACGAGAGTTTCTTCGTCAACAAATTTCTGCGCCTGCGGACCCTAACATTCAAAGCTTAACCGACAAATGCGTTTTTCGCTACCGTCAATCAAATGTTCGGTGGCTCCTTCCAGCTTCCGACTACTGTCGAGCGCGCGGTCATCAAATCGTTGAGCACAGTTCAGACAACGAAACAGTGCTCGGCAGTCGTCGGAAGCTGGGAGGAGCCGCCGAACATTTGATTGACGGTAGCGAAAAACGCACTTGTCGGTTGAGCTTTAAATTTTAGAGTCCGTCATTGAAAGGCGCAGTAAAGGAGCGGTGTCTCTAAAGCGTCTAACCTCATACTCCTTGCCTGGTTTCAAGAGAAAAACAAACTGCTAGCAGTCTCTCTGATCATTTAACATGAATACAACGAAGTTGTTTTGTCTCAAATCTTGTGACTGGTGTTTCTTGCGATGACGAGCCAAATGCAAGAATACCTTCCTTTGTAACTGAACGGCTCAAGAAAATCCGGTTAGCCAAACTATTGAAATATTCAATCTAGCGCAGCTGCCATAAACACAGCCTCCTGCGCAGTAGTCTGA